ATATTTCAAAACCAGCCCGTCTGATTTCAAGTCTAATATCCCTTTTTCCCTTTCACTATTACAGTTTTCTCTGTGTGAGAAAGCAAATTCAGTAGTGTCTTTTGATAGCATTTTGCTATAATGTAATAGAAATATTTCTTCTTTTGTTATATAGTTGAAAATTTTAAATTCTGTTTTCCACATTTAACAACTAAAAGGAAGAAAAAAACACGTGAGGCTTAAAAAAGAAACTCCAAATAAACTATTGAAAATTAAATTGAAGTAAGGTATCCTATATTGTCATGTTTTCTGGTTAAAAATAATACCCATACTTTCAGATAATTTTAATCTCTACCTAAATAAAAAATGAGAGAAGAAAATAGGGTAGGAAGATAAGATTTTGTCTCATCATTTCTTTAAGAAAGTATAATTATTTTCTTATGGCTAACATAATTTCTAACATCGATCTATTTTCAGTCAGTTGTAAACTTTGGAGATATTATGAAGCTTCCAGTGGAAATACAGAATTTGTAGCCAGACAAACCTGGGTTTGAATTCTAATTCCACCACATAGATCTATAGGCCTTGAGGAAGTAAGTTAATTACATTATAATTTAAAGATAAGCCTCAAGCTTCTTATCTCTGAAATGAAAGTTTGTAACAACAATCTCATAGAAAGATGGTGGCTATTGCATGACATAGTGGATATAAAGCACTTATAGACTGTAAACTTTAAAAAAGGTTACTTCCCTTTTCTTTTTGCATTATATAGAATCTCAATATTCTAGAAAAACCTGATTCTTATTCCCAAGTAATGCACAATTACGTGGATTTTATTGACTTAGTAAATATTAAAAGAGAGAAAGAGACAGAGAAGAAGGATGGAGGAAAGGAAGAAGGGGCGGAAGGCAAGCAAGGAGGAAGGGAGAGAGGGGAAAAATCCTACAAAGACAAACAATACTAAAATCAGATGGAGACATGTTCCTTCTCCAAATGATCTGATATTGTTCTGTTAGTAGAGATTGGAAGCATTTGGAGTTATCCATCCTGCCCTTGTCCTCTTTCCCCAGTAGGAAAAGAAGAAAAAAAATATTTTATAACATTTCTGATAGTTATAACATTTCTGATAGTATCACTAGAAATTGGTCATTAGTTCTCAAATTAGAACTTCTTGCTTGAAAGATTTTTGGCTCTGTTTGATTTTATCATTCATTCATGGGTGGAATTGTTAGAGAAATATATTCCAGGGCCACTAATCCCAACACTATGCACAATTATACATTTATTTTTTAGACAACTGACCAGATGACGAATGCAAACCTGAAAGACCTAAATATATTTTTCAACACCCAGTCTAGGATTGATCTTAATTGGACTTTGGCTGTCTATGACATCTCAAGTAGCTATTTCCAACCGCACTGTGGAGGAGAGATACTACAGGGTTGGGCAACTCTCTCCACCATGAGAAAGAATATTCGTTTCTTGTACAGTTTTGAACTCTGAGTGAAGTTGAAGTGTGAATTAATTACAGAATATTGTGATTGTTGTTAAGTGGATCATACTAATGCAGTTCCTTCTATATTTCCTATAATCATTTGCATATAGACAGGTACTTTAAGTAATTATAGGCATTTATATTTATAATTAGCCTTTTGGGGGAACCATTTTAAGAAAATTATCTGTTCAGTTGTGTACCAGATTAGTATCAGCCGGGTGTTTGTCAAATACCACTGTGACTGGGAAAACACAGCAAGAAGTGAAGTGGTGTTACCAAAAGAACTTTAGAAATATGCTTGAAGTTTCATTATTTTTTCCAAAAACAGTTGCATCACTTCTTAGAACACAAGTACATGTCTTTCAAACACGACTTTTTCTTTAAAAAGTGGGGCGTGGGTACACAACTAAAGTGAAGAAATGAAAAAGTAGAGTCAATGGAATTTTACTGGCACAATGTAAAGGTCAGGATAAGACTGACAATATGTGTATTAGCAACAACGCTGGACAATGTTCTGAATGATCATGAACTGCCTTTAGAGGCTTCCAAAGCACCAAGATAAATTGGTGCCAACTGGATTATGGAGTCAAGAGACCAGCAGAGGCAGCCAACCCCAAACTGAAGATGAGACTTTTGTTAATAAACGTAGGCTAGGCACCGTGGCACACGCCTGTAATCCCGAGGTTTTGGGAAGCAGAAGCAGACGGATCACTTGAGAACAGGAGTTCGAGATTAGCTTGGCCAACATGTTAAAACCACCACTACTAAAAAAATACAAAAATTAGCCACGTAGGGTGGCCCATGTCTGTAATCCTAGCTACTCAGGAGGTTGAGCCTCGGAGGCAGAGGTTGCAGTGAGCCGAGATCTTGCCACTGTACTCCAGCCTGGGTAACAGAACAAGAGTTGGTCTCAAAACTAGTTATAATAATAGAAGTAAAACTGTTTGTTATATTCTTGGGAAGGTTTGTCTGTATACAGGACGGAATTGTAAATTAAAAGCCCCAAATAAGAAAGTCTGATTTGAGAAGGCAACAAGGAGACCACCATTACCCTCTGTTTTCAGTAATAACATCATGCATCTATTTGAATGTCCCCTTGTCCAAAGAACTACGTAAACCTTAATCATTTTTTAAATGGGCATCATCTGATTTCCTTTCAAACTTCAACATCTAAATGAGTATATTGCTCTGATTTGGAAACTATAGGGGAGAAATCTGATGATTCAAAGCATGAAATCAACCTGAGTTGATAATGTAACTGCAGGTATTCCTATAACATTTTGTCCTTTCCAATATAAATAGAGCAATTTGACTTTTATTTAATTTGATCATGTAAAATATGTTATGAACAACAGAAATATCTTATTCACCATGTGCTTTAAAAACTTTGTACTATTATTTTTTTTTTCAGGGAAAACTTCCAGGTAATACAGGGTCAGAAATATGACTGCTTTTGAATTCTCTTTCTTTTTAAAATTTATTTTTAAATTTATAATTGACACAGTAATATTACATATTTCTTGGTTACAATGTGATGTTTCAAGAGATATATACATAGTATAATGATCAAATTGGAGTAGTTATCAAATTCATTGTTTTAGACATTTCTTCATGGTGACAACTTCAAAATCTTCTCTTTTAGTTATCTTGAAATATGTACTACAATGCTGTTTTCTATAGCCACTGTATTACGTAATACAATACTAAAACTTATTCTTTCTGTTTAATTTAATGTTGTAGCAATTGACCAATCTTTTGTCGTCCCCCTTTATTTTTGTAGGTTGTCTTTTCACTTCATTGATTATATCCTTTGCTGTACAGAAGTTCTTTAGTTTTATGTAATCTCTTGTCTATTTTAGCTTTTGTTCTAGTGGCTTTGTTCCCAGTGCTTCTGAAGTTTTATTCAAAAAATCCTTTCCCAGTTCAATTTCATGAAGCATTTCTTTATCTTTCTATAGTTTTATAGTTTGCATCCTTATGTTTATGTCTTTAATCCATTGAATTTATTTTTGTATATTGTGAGAGACGGGAGTCTAGCTTCATGGTTCTGCATGGGAATATCCATTTCTTTCAGCACAATTTATTGAAAAGATTGTCCTTTCCTCAATGTGTGTTCTTGACATCTTTGTCAAAAATCAGTTGGCGGTAAATGCATGAATTTATTTCTGGGTTCTCTATTCCATTGGTCTATGTGTCCATTCTCATGCCAGTATATGCTGTGCTGGTTACTAGGGCTTCGTAGTACATTTTGAAGTCAGATACTGTGATGCATCCAGCTTTGTATTTTTTGCTCAGAATTGCTGTGGCTTATTGGGGTCTTCTCTGGTTCCATATGAATTTTTAAATTGTTTTTTTCTATATCTGTGAGGAATGTCATTGGTATTTTGGTAGGAATTGCATTGAATCTGTAGATTGCTTTTTTCCAATCCATGAACATAGAATATCTTTTAATTTATTTGTGTCCTCTTCAATTTCTTTTCTTTTTTTTTTTATCTCTCTCTGTCTCTTTTTTTTTGAGATGGATTCTCATCTGTTGCCCAGGCTGCTGGAGTGCAGTGGCAAGATCTTGGATCACCGATACCTCCATCTCCCAGGCTCAAACAATTCTCCTGCCTCAGTTTCCCAATTAGCTGGGATTACAATCACCCACAACCATGCTTGACTAATTTTTTTTTTTTTTTTTTAAGTAGAGAGGGGATCTCTACTTAAAAGAAGCAAGAGGATCAAGGAGGAAAATAACAAAGAATCCTTGCTATCAAGGAGAAAGGGGATTGGCCTTGATCAGCGGCAAATTTAAAAAGGACCACAAAATTAAACTTCTCCTTAGAAAATAGGAAAGGAGATAGTGCAGTCAAGTTAGTATCGGGATTTAAGTCATGACCTTCCTAGTCCTAGGAGAATTTGGGCCAGGAGAATTTCCTAATCAGTGGCCACACTCCCCACTTCCAGTTCTCTGGGCCACGTCTGACAAATGTAAGTCTCAAACTTTGGTATGGATGAGAATCACCAAAGGGCTTCTAAAACACAGATTGTTGCCCCCTCTTCCCATTCCATCATATAGTTGCCAATTCAGTAGGTCTGGAGTAGGTTCCCAATAACTTGCATTTTTAACAAGTTCCCAGGTAATGCTGATACTGCTGATCTGGGAGCAATACTTTAAGAACCACTAGATTAATGATGTCAAACCTGCCTGATGAGAAGAATCACCTGGAAGGAACTTATTTTTAAAAATGCAAAATCCTAGGCCCCATGCCAGACTTTCTGACCCAACCTCCAGGGAAGCAGCTAGAATTTTCTGTTTCAACAATCCCTACCTGATTAGTATGATTAGGCAAGTTTGGAAAATGCTGCACAAATCTCTTTGAGTTCCCTTTTTTAGCATCTGTCATTTTTCCACTTGATTTCAGTGAATTTTGAAATATGGCAGTAGTTATGTGATGAGTTAAGAGTAGCACAAGTACTAGGTTCTGAACTTGAGTTTCCTGATCCCACTGGCTGACCATAATATGCTGCTTTTTCTTTTCAGGAATAGGTGCCTTGGGAGATGGTCTTCATTAATCCCGACGGGCCCTGGTATCACGAAGTAGTCCAGAGGCCACTCGGAAACAGACTCAGATGATGTAGCCTTCACTGGTAACTCTCTGCTTATCTTTCACTCTTTCCTATCTCACAGCATGCATATTTTAATCTGAATACTAAAGGTGGCTCTAGCCTCAGGCTGTTTCTGCTTAACTTTGAGAGTATTTATGGGTGATTTATGCTCTACAAGTTTTATTTCAAAAACACTTTCTTGTTTTTTTGGCAGGAATATTCTTGCTGGCACTTGCAGAGGAAATCCCATTGGTTCAGCAGATGGCTAATGGTAATTGAAGTTAACTCTTTGGAGAACAATTAGAGATTTGCAAAAGGATTGTAGTAAAATTGCTTGGGGCCCTATCATTGCCCATCTGCTGATTTTGAGAACACATAATTCGTGTCTCTCAGATCCAGACACAAACTCAAAGTTGAGGCATCCTGTAAATGGCTTTCTCTGGACCAACTTTGCCTTCTGGGGATTTGTAATGGTTCTAAAAATAGTGACCTGACACACTTTAGCTCTAATTTTTGCAACAGCATTGCAAGTAGTTGTTACTCTTATTTTACAAATAAGAAAACTGACGCCAAGCAAAATCAGATATCAAGTCTTGAAGATTATACAACTGCCTCATACCGGTCAGGATTCAAACCCACAGCTACCCAACTTCCAAGCCTGAGCTGCTCCTCCAGCACGACTCTATTCTACTTTTGAAGAAATGCAGAGTCAGGTTTGAGAGCAAAATTTTCATTTGTTATTTTTCCTGCAGTTTCCAAGAGTGTGCTTAAAATTCTACCAAGTGACATAAGGTTATGACACTCATCCTTAGTTTTGTTTGCTATCTCAACAGGATTCTGTGTGCTTTGAGTCTAAATATAAAATTAGTTCTGTCTGTGACAGGAAAGCCATCAACTGGACAGTATATTAGTTTGTTCCCACACTGCCAAAAAAGACATACCTGAGACTGGGCAATCTATTAAAAAATGAGGTTCAATTGACTCACAGTTCCATATAGCTGGAGAGGCCTTGCACTCCATGGTGGAAGGTAAATGAGGAGCAAAGTGATGTCTTATGTGGTGGCAGGCAAAGAAGTGTGCACAGGGGAGCTCTCCTTTATGAAACCATCAGATCTCATGAGACTTATTCACTATCATGAGAACAGAACAGGAAAGACCTGCCCCCATGATTCGATTACCTCCTATCAGGACCCTCCCACACATGGGGGAATTGTGGAAGCTACCATTCAAGATGAGATTTGGGTGGGGACACAGCTGAACCATATTATTCCACTCTTGACTCCTCCAAAATCTGTGCCCTCGTATTTCAAAACCAATTGTGCCTTCCCAACACTACCCCAAATTTTTAATACATTTCAACATTAACTCAAAAGCCCTCAGTCCAGTCTCATCTGAGACAAGGCAAGTCCCTTGTGCCTATGAGCCTGTAAAATCAAAACCAATTTAGTTACTTCCTTGATACAATGGGGGCACAGGCATTTGGTAAATACACCTATTCCAAATGGGTGAAATTGGCCAAAATGAAGGGGCTACAGGCCCCCTGCAAGTCCAAATTTCAGTGAGGCAGTCAAATCTTAAATCTCCAAAATGATCTCCTTTAACTCCATGTCTCATATCCAGGTCATGCTGATGCAAGAGGTGTGTTCTCATAAGCTGGGTCAGCTCTGTCCTTGTGACTTTGTAGGGTATAGTCCCCCTCCTGGCTGATTTTGGTGGGCTGGCCTTGAGTATCTGAGCCTTTTCCAGGTGCATGGCACAAAACTTTGGCAGATCCACATTCTGGGGTCTGCAGGATGGCAGCCCTCCTCCCACGTCTCCACTAGGCAGTGTCCCAGTGGGTACTCTGTATGGGGGCTACAACCTCTCATCTTCCTCCATACTGTCCTAGCAGAGGCTCTCCAAGAGGGCCCTGCCCTGAAGCAAACCTCTGCCTGGACATCCAGACATCTGTCCACATCCTCTGAAATCCAGGCAGAGGCTCCCAAACCTCAATTCCTGCCCTCTGTGCACCTGCAGTCCCAACACCACGTGGAAACTGCCAAGGCCCAAGACCTACACTCTCTGAAGCCACTGCCTGAACTGTACCTTGGCACCATCTAGCTATGACTGGAGCAGCTGGCACCCTGGGCACCAAGACCATAGGCTGAATGCAGCAGGGGGGCCAGGAAACCATCCTTCCCTCCTAGGCCTCCAGGCCTGTGATGGAGGGACTGCCAGGAAGTTCTCCAACATGCCCTGGAGACATTTTCCCCATTATTTTGGTGATTCACATTGGTCTCCTGGTTATGCAAATTTCTGCAGCAGTCTTGAATTTCTCCCCAGAAAATGGGTTTTTCTTTTCTATTGCATGGTCAGACTGCAAATTTTCCAAACTTTAATGCTCCATTTCCTTTTGAACATTTTGCTACCTAGAAATTTTTTCCACCAAATACCTCAAATCATCTCTCTCAAGTTCAAAGTTTCACATATATCTAAAGCAGAGCCTAAAAGCTGCCAGTCTCTTTTATAATACACAGCAAGTGTCACCTTTGCTCTGGTTCCCAACAAGTTCCTTATCTCTTTCTGAGACCACATCAAACTGGACTTCATTGTCCACATTTCTATCAGCATTTTGGTCAAAGCATTTAACAAGTCTCTAGGAAGTTTCAAATGTTCCTACATCTTCCTCTCCTCTGAGCCCTCCAAGTCTCTAGGAAGTTCCCAACTTTCTCACATTTTCCTATCTTCTGAGCCCTGCAAAGTGTTCCAAACTCTACCTATCACCCAGTTCCAAAGTTGTTTCCACATTCTTAGGTGCTCTTTATAGCAGCACCCACTCTACTGTACCAATGCACTGTATTAGTCTGTTCCCATGCTGCCAACAAAGACAAACCTCAAACTGGGCAATCTATAAAGGAAAGAGGTTCAATTGATTCACAGTTCTGCATAGCTGGGGAGGCCTCACAATCATGGCAGAAGGTGAACTAGGAGCAAAGTAATATCGTACATGGCAGCAGGCAAGAGAGCATGTTCGGGGTACTCCCCTATATAAAACCATCAGATCTTGTGAGATGTATTCACTACCATGAGAACAGACAGAAAAGACCTGCCCCCATGATTCAATTACCTCCCAGTGGGTCCCTCACATGACAGGTGGGAATTATGGCAGTTACAATTCAAAATGAGATTTGGGTGTGGACACAGCCAAACCATGTGAAGCAGTTATTCAGAAAGTGTGATTAATTACTGGTTTTAAGTAACAAAAGGATGGTTTCAGTCTTAAATTATTTTGAATTATTATTTTTGCTCAAACCTTCATAGTTGATTGTTGCATATCTTCTTTCTGTTCTTACTTTCTCCAGCAAGAATTTGTTTGGTACCAGCTCTATGCAATACACTGTGATAGACACACCAGATATAGAAGTGAGAAATATGTTTCCCATGTTGGTTAGCAAAGAAGATGGACAAATAAACCCATAAAGTAAACACACAAAAATGTTTTCTCAAGGAAGGAGAATTCTTGAAGGAAGTGGTACTTCAGTTGAAACGTGAAAGATGAGTAAGGGTTAGTCACGTAGAGAAGGGGAGAAGAGAGTATCCAGTGTAAACAGAAGAGCATGTGCAAAGCACAGAGACATGAGAGAGCAGGTAGGCATAGCTGGAAAGCAAGACGGATGTAAAAAAAAAATCAGAACCTTGCAGAGACTAGGTTGTAGAAAGTTCTGTAGACTGAGTTTAGCTGTTTTAACTTTAACCTGAAAGTCACAGGAAAATATTAAAGATGTTTAAAAAAGAAGAATCAAAGAGATTTTCATTTTATTAACAAACTATCACTTTGGCAGCAGGTGTGGAAAATGATCAGAGGGGCCAAGACCAGAAGCAAGACACCTGTTACTGAGGCAATGCAGATGGGAAGACCCAGATGTAGACCATGGCAGTAAAGATGGAGGGGCAGAATTGAGAAATACTTGTAGAACTAATGGAACTTACCTAGAAAGGAGATTAACTCAATCCTTTATTTTTCTTCCTTTTTTCAAAGTTTTTAAAAGGCTATGACTATCTTTTCCCCATTTCCTCCATACTTAGTATGACATTCAGCTAATTTTGCTTGAATACCTATGTCTTATTCTTTACGAACACCACCAAGCAGCAGCACCTCCCTACCTCCACAACAAGCAGCAAGTGTTTATGGAGCACCTCTTACTAAATCGTACTTTGTCCAGTTTTGCGACAAATGTACATTCCTCTCTGCTTTGCTTTTGCACTGTCCTGTATTTTTCATGGTTCTGTGGTTTCTGGTTTAGTGTGTATTTTCTTTTGCTCTTCCAGGACCATAGGATTTCAGAGCTTATTATTTAAGTTCCCAGGTTTTTTATATGTACTCGGAATATTATTTCTTACTACTTTCTCAAAGTAAAGCTCCACAAATATTTCTTACATAATTCCAATGTATCTAAAGAGATTTAGCATTTGAGTTTTAAGTTAAATCAATAAACTGATTAAAGCCATAATTAGCAATCACTAACTTTTATACAGAAATAAACTGAAAACATTATTCATTTACTAAGGCTCTGGTGTACTTATTTCTGTAAAGAGAACACTATACTTTCCTCAAATAAGTAATAAAATGTATATTTTCTCCTGTTCTCATGTGTGGAAATTACGTACATTTTATGGTACAGGCTATATATCTTCTGCAATACCTTCATCTGCCTGTAGGTGTAAAGGTAAAATTCAGCTCCTATGTCAAGGAAAGAAATTAGACAGCTGGCTTAAAGTAGTTACTTCAGTGTATACTCCTTGGGTGATGGGTTCACCAAAATCTCACAAATCACCACTAAATAACTTATTCATGTAACCAAATAACACTTGTTCCCCAAAAACCTATGGAAATAAAACATTTAAAAAAATGAATATAGAAAAATAAGTTATTTTAAATGCAGACTTATATTTATATTTTTTCATTGTTTACATTTATTCCTTATTTCTTCTAAAAAAAAAAACAGGATATATGTGCAGAATGTGCAGGTTTGTTACATAGGTATACGTGTGCCATGGTGGTTTGCTGCACCTACTGACCCATCCTCTAAGTTCCCTCCCCTCACCCCCATCTCCCAATGGGCCCTGGTGTGTGTTGTTCCCCTCTTTGTGTCCATGTGTTCTCAATGTTCAACTCCTACTTATGAGTGAGAACATGTGGTGTTTGGTTTTCTGTTCTTCTGTTAGTTTGCTGAGGATGATGGCTTCCAGCTTCATCCATGTCCCTGAAAAGGACATTACCTCATTTTTTATGGCTGCATAGTATCCCATGGTGTATATGAACCACATTTTCTTTATCTAGTCTATCATTGATGGGCATTTGGGTTAGTTCCATGTCTTTGCTATTGTAAACAGTGCTGCAATAAACATACATGTGCATGTGTCTTTATAGTAGAAAGATTTATATATTGGGGAGTATATACCCAGTAATGGGATTGCTGGATTAATTGGTATTTCTGGTTCTAGATCCTTGAGGAATCACTATTGTCTTCCATAATGGTGGAACTAATTTCCACAATGGTGAAACCTCATTTCTTTTTCTTAACAGCTATTATGTCATGTTCAAAAAAATACAGCTGTTTTCTTTAAGAAGTCTAAAACAGACTTCCTTGTACTACTTAAATTTAAAGACTGACCAAAATGGCACAATATCAAAGAAGAAATGTAAATAGAGAATCAACTGCCAACTAAATGCCACCATTACTCAAAGTGTGATGTCACCTACTTGTTTTAGGCATCATTCATATATATTACAGTCTGGTCCACCGAGACTATTCATCACATTTTTATTGAGCAATTTCTATGTGCTTAGCACTGACTGTGCTAGACCCTGTAGTTACTTTAAGTCCTGCCCATAATAGCATGCAATGTGGCTGAGTATTTAAATAAAAATACAGAAGCTCTTAAAATTATATACTGTACAAATTATTTTAAAGTAAAAAAATTCAGAGAATGAAAATAAAGTCGTCAAAAATCTAGGATGAGCTTAGAAACATTTTGAATTAATAAAACAGTCAATAAGGCTGGATTAATGAAAAATGAGCACAAATATTTTAAGACAGAAATTAAACACCTCTGTAGTCATAATAACTAAAAATATAATGAGAAAAGTATATTTTATACAGATCCTTAAGATACCTGCATAGTAGTGGCAATTAGCTTAATTAAGAACTGGTTTCTTTGAAATCTGCTTCCAATTACTGAGGATGTTGAAAAACTTCTCTTAATTTGTTTGTCTGATTTTCTTTTATTTCATTATTTAATTTTTAAAAATATTTTTATAGGTACTAAAAACACAGAACCAATAACTCTGTCTGAATCTTCATATATTCTGTGGATATATTTTATTATGTAAAAGATAATGGCTCTACTTTTCTCCTCCATCCTTGGGAGAACTTACATAAATATACCTTATGATGGAAGCAAAAGCTTCTAAACACAGTATTCTCTGTTCTCTTACCTATTGCTGGCTCTAAGATCTCAGCACGGCTTGGCACACCTCTTCACATTACCCTGGCCCAAACTGTCTTGGGAACAGCACAGCTGGGTTTTTTGTTTATTTGTTTGTTTGTTTTCTTTTATGCTGGGTTGCACTGATCTTGAATGAAAGCACTAATGCTTCAATAGATGGGGACTGGAGTAGGCAGCAATTCATTTTTTCCAAAGCAAAAGCTGTAAGTTTAGAAGTACACAGAATATATTATATGTATAATCAGGACTCATGTCTATACAGCCCACTTCAAGCATGTTAATGTTATATGCTTTTTTACATATGCATCCCACAGAGATTTATAGTAGTTACTATAATTACAATAAAACTGTAGATCAAGCATCAGTTCTTCACAAGTAACTGTTTTTTTTTGCAAAGTTTGTAAGGATCTTACTTTATTTGGAAGGTTAGCTCTATCTTCACTATAACCTTGTTACATAATGATGAGAATTTGTGTTTATTGAAAATAATAATGAAAATGAAGATAAAAGCACTTGTTAAAAATCAGTGTTTTGCTGAATCATGACCCAGAGTATTTGAGTACACATTTAATATAACATTATTTTCAACGTATTTAGTATACAATTGATACATTTCTGCAGATTATAAACAAAAGTGTTCTCTGTACTGGCTCAATTTTGCTGTGAACCTAAAATTACTCTAAAAACTAAAGCCTACTTTTTAACATAATATATATATATATATACTGATATGTATACATAGATATACAGTTTCTCTACATCAGATTTTAAACTAATTGGACAAAGATAAATCTCATTGTGTGAGAAATATCTTACCCAAATAGTCATTATTTTTCAAACATTTCCAATTGTTTTATTACTTATTACTTTAACAAAAAGAGCTTTACTAAACATGCTATATAAAACTTCATGTGGGCTGGGCATGATGGCTCACATCTGTAATCCCAGCGCATTGGAGGATTGAGGCAGGTGGATCACTTGAGGTTATGAGTTCGAGACCAGCATAGCTAACATGGTGAAACCCCTTCTCTACTAAAAATACAAAAATTAGTTGGGAGTGGTGATGGACACCTGTAATCCCAGCTATTCAGGAGGCTGAGGCAGGAGAATTGCTTGAACTGGGGAGGCCAAGGTTGCAGTGAGCCAAGATAGTGCCATTGTACTCCAGCCTAGGTGACAAAGTGAGACTCTATCTTAAAAAAAAAAAAACCCAAAAAACAAAAAAATAATGTGATTATTCTGCCTGGATGTAGAGATTTTTCAACCAGGAAAGTTTAACATGAAATGACAACAACCAATAACGTGAACAACAACATAAAAACAGAGAGCTATCGTGTTCATTTATTTTAATGTTGTACATAAATGTTACCTTTGCTGATAATTTACTTAACAAGTAACATCTTTCTAGGTGTCAAACACATCACTAGGGCCAAGAGGCCTATGGAAAAAATTAAGAAAAGAGTTCTCTACACTAAACATGTGAATTACAGTTTTGTCACGTGGGAAGAAATATAAACAATGAAAATATTTAAGGAATAGTACAATACAATAGTTGAAATGAGTACTACGTAACTTCAAAGCTGGGGACAGAGGTAAGGAAAGAGCAAAAATACTTAAATTCTCAAGACCTGAGGACAAGGTGAGATCTGAACACATGGGAAGTGGGTAGGTTTTCCATGGACAAAAATTATCACGAGGTCTTGTAAACAAGAATAGCATCTAAATGTTTCGGGTTGATTCTGTTCATGACATTTAAACCCACACAGTCAGAAAGCCAGTTTATAGTTGAAATTGAGATTCATATTAAATAGGTAGAGATAAGTCTGGGTAAAGAATTCATCATAGTAAATGCTTTCTGAGGATCTATTGTGTAACACTCATTTTATGTATAGCATTGGCTTTGTGCTGGTTAAGACCATTTCAATTATAGATTTAGAAGAAAATAGTTATAATTTACAGCTAATTCACAACTGGTTCTGCTATTTAAGAAGGACTCTACTGGCTGGGTGCAGTGGCTCATGCCTATAATTCCAACACTTTGGGAGGCCAAGGTGGGCAGATCATTTCAGGTCAGCACTTTGAGACCAGCCTGACTAACATGGTGAAAAGCCCTCTCTACTAAAATACAGAAATTAGCCAGGCGTGGTGGAGGTCACCTGTAATCCCAGCTACTTGGGAGGCTGAGGAAGGAGAATCTCTAGAACCCAGGAGGCGGAGACTGCAGTGAGCTGAGACTGCGCCACTATGTTCCAACCTGGGCAACAGAGTGAGACTCTACCTAAAAAAAAAAAAAAAAGGACTCTATTACTGAGTTATTATAGTTGGCAGAAATGGTAATGTAGTCACAGCATAGGATCCTATGGCAAAACTCCTGATACCATGTTTTCTTTGCTTCTTGAGATGTCCTATAGGTGACAGAATGAAGACACTCAGTGAATATGTGGTGAATTAAATAAATGAGGGGACAGAAGAAAGGGAGGAAAAAAAAGGACAAGAAGAAAGTCTGGTTGTTAAAAGCAGGTAACGGCATATAAGTTGAAAACTATTAAGTGACTCAAGTATATCTTGCAAAAGTCCACAAAGTTTTTTATTTTAACACGGACAAAATAGATTCTTTATTTCATAAAAATGTAACAAAATTTGTTATTCAACCACTATGCTATTTATTATTTTACCTTTGTGTGTGTTGCCAGCAAAGAAATATAAAGAAATCCTGACCTGATTATGGTGAATCAGAAGGCCTGCCTGGATTTTTTTATCACTCTAACTGCCCAGCTAATCACCTAATCTCAAATCTGTTTTTTATGACACTTCAAGGTTTCCCTTAGCTGCATCACTCCTTTGTCATCAGAAGTTTAGAAATAACAATTAAGCAGATTCCTGAGTTACTAAATGACACATAATTAGAATTGAGACTTAGGAACTTTCAGTTCCATGCTAAGCCCACAGGCACACAACATTTCTAAAAAGTTAATCATACATTTGGCATAAATATTTTTGTCATGGTTCCCTCCTGCCTTCATATGCTTTTATATCTTATTAAGTTCATATCCTATTAATTTTTTTATTGCATTTTAGGTTTTGGGGTACATATGAAGAACATGCAAGATAGTTGCATAGGTACACATGTGGCAGTGTGATTTGCTGCCTTCCTCCCCTTCATCTATATGGCATTTCTCCCCCTGCTATCTCTCCCCAACTCCCCAATGCCCACTGTCCCTCCCCTATTCCCCCGAACAGACCCCAGTGTGTAGTGCTCCCCTCCCTGTGTCCATGTGTTCTCATTGTTCAAACCCACCTATAAGTGAGAATATGTGGTATTTCATTTTCTGTTCTTGTGTCAGTTTGCTGAGAATGATGGTCTCCAGGTTTATCTATGTCCCTACAAAGGACACGAACTCATCGTTTTTGACTGCTGCATAATATTCCATGGTGTATATGCACCACATTTTCTCTGTCCAGTCTATCATCGATGGGCATTTGGGTTGATTCCAGGTATTTGCTATTGTAAACAGTGCTGCAATGAACATTCGTGTGCATGTGTCCTTATAGTAGAATGATTTATAGTCCTTTGGATATATACCCAGTAATGGGATTGCTGGGTCAAATGGAAATTTTATTTCTAGGTCCTTGAGGAATCGCCACACTGTCTTCCACAATGGTTGAACTAATTTACACTCCCACCAGCAGTGTAAAAGTGTTCCTATTTCTGCACATCCTCTCCAGCATCTGTTGTCTCCAGATTTTTTAATGATCGTCATTCTAACTGGCATGAGATGGTATCTCAATGTAGTTTTGATTTGCATTTCTCTAATGACCAGTGATGATGAGCATTTTTTCATATGTTTGTTGGCCTCATGTATGTCTTCTTTTGTAAAGTGTCTGTTCATATCCTTCGCCTGCTTTTGAATGGGCTTGTTTGTTTTTTTCTTGTAAGTCTGTTTTACTTCTTTGTAAATTCTGGATATCAGCCCTTTGTCAGATGGGCAGACTGCAAAAATTTTTTCCCATTCTGTTGGTTGCCAATTCGCTCTAATGACTGTTTCTTTTGCCGTGCAGAAGCTGTGGAGTTTGATTAGGTCCCATTTGTCTATTTTGGCTTTTGTTGCCAATGCTTTTGGTGTTTTGGTCATGAAGTTCTTGCCTACTCCTATGTCCTGAATGGTTTTGCCTAGATTTTCTTGTAGGATTTTTATGGTGCCAGGTCTTATGTTTAAGTCTTTAATCCATCTGGAGTTAGTTTTAGTGTAAGGTGTCAGGAAGGGGTCCAGTTTCTGCTTTCTGCACATGGCTAGCCAGTTTTCCCAACACCATTTATTAAACAGGGACTCCTTTCCCCTTCGCTTGTTTTTGTCGGGTTTATCAAAGACATATCCTATTAGTTGAATTATTGCTCTCAATATGTTGACTTGTCACCATCATAAACTTACACTGATTTTTCAAACTCATATTGTAACAAGCTATCCTGAAATGTAAAGATGTTCACTTTGGTTAAGATTCACGTAAAGGTTTGAAGTTGGAGAAAACTCATGGAACACAGGTCTTTCTTTTCATCACTTTTTCCTCCAATCATCATCTGTGAAACTCTTCCCAGCTTCTTAAATGCATATTCAAAATCCCATCCAAGAAACCAACCTAATATTCAAAGGCACAGATTATAATAATAAATACCCATCTCCATGGGTATTACTGACAAAACAATCATTAAAATAAAAACATTTTATCTTTCATTTGATTATGAAGAAATAATCAAATCAGAATATATAATTCTCCTTCTCATCTGGGAAGAAATACACAAATTCAGGGAAGCAGGAATTGCAATAAAATGTCCGACTTCGTTCTTTCATTATCTGTTAGAATAGAGAGAGAAATATGTAATAAGAACAGATGAGGATAATGCTTTTTAATTTTGTGTATTGTGTGAGGAATAAAACATAAGTAAAAAATTTGTTTGCATTAAACACTTAAAACATTCTCATTTGAAGTAGTTACATGGTGTTTTATTTTAAAAAGGAAACAATTGTGGGCACAATAAATGGTCACATAATCTTGTTGTAAATTGGTATATAATGCTAGCCTAAAAAGGAATAAGGAAGAATACAAGCTGAAATCGCTGGGAAATAGAACTTTTTTCTACCAGAACAAGTATTCTGTTCATTTTTTAAAAGATAGTCCAACAGTGCCAGTTAGAGTGAAGCAAATTTTATCACACAAGGTTGATGAAATGTTAAATCTCTACAATTATTTTAGCAAACACTCTGACTACATGTATCTTTAAAGAACATTAAACATTACATATAACTTATTCCATAAAGTCTCCTTATAGTAAAAATATATATAAACACTTCTTAAAACCTCTGAATTGGCCGGGCGCGGTGACTCAAGCCTGTAATCCCAGCACTTTGGGAGGCCGAGGCGGGTGGATCACGAGGTCAACAGATCGAGACCATCCTCGTCAACATGGTGAAACCCTGTCTCTACTAAAAAAAATTACAAAAAATTAGCTGGGCATGGTGGCACGTGCCTGTAATCCCAACTACTCAGGAGGCTGAGGCAGGAGAATTGCCTGAACCCAGGGGGCGGAGGTTGCGGTGAGCCGAGATTGCGCCATTGCACTCCAGCCTGGGTAACAAGAGCGAAACTCCGTCTCAAAAAAAAAAAAAAAAAAAAAAAACCTCTGTATTTCAGTACTTGGGTAATGATAGAGTAATATTCTCATCAGTGTGCCAAATTTTACCACAAATTATGCTTAAGTAACTATAGTGTATTATTTAGATAACATAAATATTATAATGCTTTACAGATAATTTGCCATTAGTCTGAGAAATGCTTATTTTATGCTAAATAAAATGAAAACAAGGTTTAAAAATGTATATCATAATATTAATATAAGTGTATAAAACAAAATAAAAAACTGTAGTAAAAAGAATAGAAAAACATACACTAACATGATACTGAATTTTTGCTGACCAGTTAAAGTTTGGTAAACTGCTTTTCTTTCTAATTTTCATCATTTTTCAAAGTTTCTGTAGAGAACAGAGCTTATTTTCATAACTGAGCAAAAGTGTAATAAGATTTACTTTAAAAATTAAAATTGGAGTTAGAGTGAAACTATCAAAAAAGAAATGGAAATAAGGTATCTCTCTTTGTTTCCCTTCATTTGTTTTCTAGGGGAATCTGTATTAATACCAAGACAGTACCCAGTGTGCACATATGTGTGTGTGTGTGTGTGTGTGTGTTATATTATATATATGTATATATATGGAAAGATATAGAATTATAAGTGTGAGTTGAGTAAAAATCGTATTGATCTCATGATTTTAAAGCTATTTTCCAGAATCAACCAGCTTGCTTTTACCCTATAAGTGGCACACTGCATCTCTATTGGAAAAACACACTCAGCTCTTCCTCGGAAAAGCAGGAGATTATCTCTCAGCTCCCTCAACCATGGGAGATGAATGTCCAAAGAAGTTGAGCTGCTTGAATGTTTATATACATTATAACAACTTCTAGAGGGCAGAGGAGTTACCGTACCTGGCCTTATCTGGAGAATAAAATAAAATTAGCATGCTTTTTCACATTTGATAAGCCAAGTGTGCTACCTCTGCAAAAATAAGCCTTTTCACATTCTTTCTTAAAAAGAAAAAGAAATCACACAATGCTGTAATACCCAGCAGATTTTCCACTCAATTAGCCACTAACAGAAATATTAAAAAAAAGGTGTTTGAGGGAGGAAACTAAAGCTCAAAATTCGATATGGCCAATCATACATCACATTTGGCATTATGTTCTGCCGTTTAGAGTATTCATTCATTGAAGTACATGTTTTATTCAAAATAGATCTAATGAAAAGTGCAACTAAGGGTGTGCTAGCCAAATGAGCCATGTAATGAACACACTGGATTCTGATACCTAATTAAAATAAGAGTAGCTTAGCCTTAACATACTCTTGGAAACTGTCCTTACTATGAAAAATTCAGTGACTTATAGATTCTTTCATGGCAAGAGACTTGATCAGTCACAATATCAGACTTTCAAAAATTTCTTGGTTGGAGAAAACTTAAGCAAAGTTTTAAAAACGACAATTCCTCTAAGGAATCTAGTACTCTTAATCAGACGTGTATGCTTAATTTGCATTTTGACTCTCAGAGATATTCTGCCTTTATAGCATGAACTCAGATTAGAACAGAGAGATCGGGGGAGGCTATGTTGTAAATCCCGGCAGTTTCTAAATCTCACCTTTCCAAATGGTCACTCCACATCAGGGTTGAGGAACACTGGCAGGGTAAGGAGGTGGAGCTGGATGCATAGTTGTCTGCGTGGTACCTGATCTGTGAACAGACAGAGGATTTCACAGGACATTTCCTTGAGTATTTCGGAAGAAAAGCAAAAGCAAAACCTGCATATCAAAGTCACATTGGCTACTGATCAATAAGGATGTTTTAGATATTATCTTCCTAAGACCGTCTCATTTCTACTTTCATGCTTTGACTCACACTTATTTCCTACTACACTTAGACACCAAATATCACTTGCAAGCAGAGACCATGTCTGCTCTGACTGGGGAAGTTATCACAGGACTTGTTAAATGCTAAATAAAAACTCACTGACCTCAAGTGATTGGTGAAGGGAAATATAATTCAGTCACCCTCCAGCTTATATTTTTCAGGATTTCCCATTGCTCTGGGATAAAGACTAGAATTCTTAACATGACTTCAAAGGCTGTTTTATCTGGCCTCGGGGTGCAACTTCAGCCTCTTTTCAAACTTGTTGCCCTTTTGGTCTTATGTGCTCAGGCTACACCAGCCATCTTTGAGCATTATAAACAGTGTCATCCCCCTTTACACCTCACGGCCTGTGCACTTTCTTCTGCCCAGAGTGTGCTTCCATTTCTTCATCACCTGGCTAACCTCTACTCATCTGATAGATCTCAACTTAGAGAATCACTTTCTTGGAGCGCATCCTGTTGACTAAGACTGGTTTCCTACTACATGACATCTACTATTTTTCCTGTTGTTTGAAACTTGTAGTTACGTTGTGATTATTTATTGAACAATTGTCATTGTATCTAAGCTATAAGCTTCATGAGAGCCGGAACCGGAACCCTACCCGGTTTTGCTTGTCACTGAGTCTCCAGCAGCTATCACAGTGCCTGGCACATAAATCACAGTGGATAAGTACCTGTGGCATGAGGGGACAATGCTGCCTCACCAGTCCTGAGGGTCATCCCTCAACAGCATTCTCCACATTATGGCCTAAATTCATTGAAAGTCACAATCAAAAAAATGATTTGTTTTTTATACATTTCTCAGTAATGGTCTTATAAGAAAAAGACAGGATAAAATGAATTCTATTTTATCTTCAGCCTTTTTAAATTAGTTTCCTAAGTTTTTTTTTTTTCTCAAAAATGTGATTCAGATTATCTTAAACAGTGTGGCCATCTTACGTGGCATGGCATTATATAAGTTGTCCGGACAGGCCTACAGTTTTCCAATCCTTAACTGTGTTAAGCAAATGGGTGATTTCTGTTTTAGGTAGGCAGTGCTGTGTGAAAAGTCATAAAATGCCATGTCTTCTTTGCAGCAAAAATTACACTTTGACCAATACCTATTTCAGAGCAAACAGAAAAAGTGTAGCGGCAATTCGCACAGAAATTTTATGGTTCTGGAAGACTGGTCAGACCTGGAGGAGAAAGGAAAACAATTTTTTTTTCTGCAAGACTTTCAAAGCCACCTTTATACTCCTATGTGAGAAGATTCTCCGTATGCTGAAGAACGATCTGGTTAGGATAAGTTCTCACCTTAGCTGACCACTAGGCTTCTCTTCTTGCTATTATGTTGCTTGGTTCTTATTTAAAGGCCTGCCTTCACAAAGGAAATGCCCTTGGGTTTGCATTATTTGTTGGCTAAACTTTAGAAGCAGATTACAGCTGTAGGAATTTCCATATCACATACCTGTATAATGTCAAATAGCAGAAGATTGAAAAAAAAAAAAAACTAAAAGAATGAGGCACTGCAAGGTAGTTCATGAAGAGCTGGGAGTTCTGAAGCATATGTTTTCCTAGTGGCATTGTTTGTGGAGCACAGACGATTTTTAGGGTTGTGAAACTAATCTACGATTCCATTAGTAGACACATCATTATGCATTTTTCCAAACCCACAGAATGTACAACAACAGGGATGAACCCTAATGTAAACTATGGACTTTGGGTAATAATGCTGTCATTGTAGGTTCATCAATTAGAACAAATATACCACTCTGGCCAGGGACATTGATGATGGAGGAGGCTATGCTTATGTGGGGACAGAAGTTCTGTAAAAAATCTCTGTACTTCTCAATTCTTCTGTGGACTGCTCTAAAAAATAAATTAAATTTTAAAAAATTGTTGTTATTGAAGATTATATATGATTTGATCTACTAATAGCCTTGTTACTAATGTTTTTGATCCAAGTTTTCCTTCTCTCTAACATATCCTTCATATTGTTTCCAAGGCAAATCTTGGCAAATCATAAATATCTTTGAAAGTTTCCCATTTCTAAAAGATAAAGACTGCCATATGTCAGGTGATGTCAATCTCCTTTGCCTTTAATTTCATTTAATGCTTAAACCCTTTAATACACTGCTCTTCATCCACATCAAATATGGCCTGTCCTGAAAGTATAAGGATGAACAGGTACTAATGGGCCTCTCTTAGACATATCAGCACTTGTAGCCATAAATCTTCATTCATGCAGCCTAGGATCTTCCTGCCTGAAATAAATCTTGTTCTTGTTTCAACTAAACTTGCAGCTCTGCTGTGTTCTTCCCAAATTGCCAAACATATAAGATTTCAATCTGCCAGCAAAGTTTATCCTACCTCGGGATGTGAGAGCCCAAGGATTTCACTTAAAACAGCTTTATTTACTAAGATGTGTTACAGGATATTTTAAAATAATTCAGTTAGGTGGTGCAGTCTATTTATTTGTGTATTTGGAGGGAGGGTCGGTGTTGATCTTCCAATCTGAATTTAACTCTTGGGCCAAATTGTTTTCCTATGGCAATACTGAAAGATGATTAATGTGTGAATAGGCACTTCACAAAACCAAATGGAGACTCTACAGACACAGCTCGTTTGTCTGGCCTTCTGCTATGGCTCCTTTGTGGACCCTGTGGCCGGTTATGGTCCAGCTGAGGATGCCTGATGCCTGTATTCACAGAGACACGCTGCCTCTGTGGGCTGAACACTGTGCTAGTTTGTCTGCGAGATTCCTTCCAGAGTGACCCAGCGGTACCACATAGTTACAGCTTCTTCCCATCATGTCATTAATAGTTCTCTCTGCTCACCCACACCAGCTCACTAATTTATCCCTATCCACTACTTGATCCTAAGGATCTGAGGGCTATGATGGTCTGTGCTGTCACTTCCAGATTTTCAATGCCAGATTTGTAACATGGCACAAAGCTAGCTAGATTTTGCAGGAACTAAGAGGGAACTCTCCTAGAATTCCCTCTCTTCACCTCTGATTACCTATGCCCTTGTTACAGGTCACTCCACTCCCATAGCTATCCCCTCCCTCTTCCAACTTCCTGACCACTAGCTTCTTTCCATCTACTTTCAAATATATGGAGATTTCCCCTGTCTTGGGAAACAAAATACACACAAACACCTGTGCTTGACTGTGTGTTTCTACTCCTTCCGACAAGTGCAGTCTGATGTTTTGCCTTCTTTTAACACCAGTTTCTTTAAGTGACAAACAGTCTCTGTTGCTCCTAATTCCTCTCATTTTAACTCCCTCCTAAACAACTGAACAGAATTAGAAGTTCCTCTCCCTTTGTCAGGCGCTGTTCAAGCACTTTACAAATAATAATTCATTTAATTCTTTGTAACTGGTACTCTTATCATCTTCAATAAAATGAAAGTTATCTTTAATAAAATGAAATGAGATATGTGGAAACTGACACATACGTAGGTGAAGTAACTTGCCTAGGGTCACCTCCAGGTGAGGGGCAGAGTTTAAATTCAAATGCCAGCAGTCTGGTTCCAAAACACATGTCCTAACCACACTCTACTGCCTCACTCCCTCCAAATTCTGTAAGTGGTTTTCATTCCTGTGCTAACAAAACTAGTCTCTTAGAAACTTTTGGTGTATGCTTTCATCTTTGGTATTGTAGTACTCAGGCTAGATATACCTGTACTGCATATTAAGTTCTAGTCTTTACAAACCTCCCCCCACCCACCCTGCAGCTTTTATGCAAGTATAATGAAACTTCATTAAGCTGGAATGAACACATTATTCTGATAAGGGCAGAACTAAATTTTATATTGTTCATGACATAAAATGGGGTTGGTTAATTGGTCAAATTAATAAGTAAAACAGATAAGGTAGTACGAGCAGCATTTGACCTACTCAAGGGGGAAAATATAGATAATTTTAGAAATACAAATCCAGGCTTCTGATATCAAAGGAATCTTTCCGGGTCCAGATAATAATAGGTATAATGCACTCCTTGATTCCTGCCTTGCAGGAGTGTGTGCTCTATCTGGGAAGCAATTGAAATAGCAAGAAATAATAGAAAATGGCATATAATCACACTCCAGAGCATAGTATGGTCATGTTTCCCACCATCTACTTTGTTAGAATTGACAGGGTGTATTCTGAGCACTGGCCAGTTCTTCTTAGCCATCATGCCAGCTGCCACCAAGAGGGCGGTGATCCCTGTGGGAGGAAACAAAACTGCACATTTTAAAGCTAAAGTGAGCCTTGGAGATGATGTAATCCAATTCTCTTATTTACAGATGAGGACATGAAGCCACATTTTTTTTTTATAGCCACAAAGCTAGCTTGCAGCCAAATTCTATTTGGAACCTAGCTTTCTCTTCCTGCGCAATCACTAGGCTCAGTAATAGATTTGTAGATTTAATCCACTCATAAATACCCTAGAACATACCTTATTCGGCAAATGCTTGTTTATTAACAAAAAATTAAAGGTGTGGATAACTGAGCAGGGTTAAAAAACTAAAACATGTGACCTGGCCAATTATACTACTCAGTGAGCCCCACGAGAGCAGAGATTTTCACATTTCTGTTTGTTGATGGACCCTCAGTGACTAAACCAGAGTTAGCCACATCGTGGTGTAATTACTATGAGGTGTCTGAATGGACAATTTCTTCTACATGTTTTTATATACAATGTCTATCAGTGAGTAGATATTTCTATTTTATAGGTGAAAAAGAAAATAAAGCTGGGTGAAATTGACTTGCTCAAATCTAGACCTGGAGCCAGAACTAGAAACCAGGCTTTTGGTGCCTAATTCATGATTTAGCTGTAAAAAGATTGCTTTCATAAAAAA